TATGAGTTGTTTCTTGTAGGCAGACCCCTGACCATTTACAAATTTCAGAAGCATGTCTTTATCCAAGCCCAGGGCACCTATACTAGAGATAGGAAGAGAGATTGGAGCTATTATTTCATAGGTATAGGGAACTCCTAGATGAGGAAATTCTTTCTATTCTTAAATCCAATGAAGGCTAGCATCTTCTCTCCAATTTATAGTCTTAGGAGAAAGGCTGTTAACATAGGGGTCCGTGGATGGTAAAGCGGTCATGGATAAATTTCAGGGGGAAAGGATCTGTGAATTTGTGTGGGGAAAGAATTACATCTTTAATTCAATATAATTGGTTTCCTTTGTAATCTATTAATTTTATTTTATGTATTTTAAAATATTATTCTGAGAAGAGGCCTATAGCCTTCATAAAAGGATCTGTGACACAAGAAAGGTTAAGAACCCTTATCTTAAGAGAGTTCCAGGCAGCTAAGTGACACAGTGGATAGAGTTCCAGCCTTGGAATCAAGAGGAGCTGAGTTCAAATCCAGCCTCAGACACTTAACACTTAATAGCTGTGTGACCCTGGGCAAGTCACTTAACCCTGACTGCCTCAGCAAAAAAAAAAAAAAAGGAAGAAGAAGAAGAGAGTTGCCTACAGCAATGAAAAGTTAAGTGATTTGCCCAGAGTCCCAAAGCCATTTAGTGTCCAAAGCATCATTTGAACTCAGGTCTTCCTGGCTTTGAGGTCAGCTTACATCTCCTATTCCACATTGCCTCTCTTCAGTAAAGAAGTCCTAAATTTATCTCTTCCATTTTGTGAAGATGAGGACACTTGTTCTTCTTTCCATTGAAAACATCTTTCCCTTTCCCCACAATCTTTCAAAATTGGCTGGGGGTCAGGGGAGAGAAGGGATGGACACAGGAGTCACTTCTACCATCTTTTTCAGTACCCAGATATAGTTTGTCTGGATCTGATTTGAATTCATCAAGGGCAATTAGGGATCTATCCCTACTTATCTTGATCTCTAACATCCTATAGACCATTTTTATTTGTATCCAGCTCTCTGTAGCTAAGAACTTTATAAATAAGAGCTATTATTGTCAATTTAGGATTATTCCTGGGAAGATAAATCAGTAGTAGGATTCACCTGGGCTACAACTTGTTTTATTCTTTTCTCTTCTCTTGGTATCTGCCTTCTATATATCAGTTTCACTGAAGCCACAGAGGAGACTCCAAGGAGAAGCTGATTAACTTAACAACTCTGGTAGTTGGATTCTCACACTCTAATTTACTTTTGCAGAGTAAACAAGGTAACCTTAAAGAGATGCACAATGGCTCTTTCCAAAGACTTGGGAAATTAATGCCAAAGTGCAATAAATGGTACACCTGAGGCCTGAAAGAGTTAATAAAATTTGTAAAGGTCATCCCGAGTATGTTGTAGGAATATCTGACTCACCTGGAGTTCTGCATAACAAGTAGGTAGGCAGCTGTTTCACATCACCGGTATTTACCTAGTGCTGATTGCAGACATAGCCTTGCATTTTCCAATCTTTGTTTCAAAGTTATCACATAGCTTCTCCCACCTCTTTTCCCTTCATTCCTCCAAATAGGAAAATTAACTAAAATTGATGATAATCATTTATTTCTACAAAAAGACATGGAAAATTATTTTGCATTTATCTTAACACACTAATCAACAAGTATTAAGCTCCTACTCTGACTAAACACCAGGGATGCAAAGACAAAATGAAATGGTCCTTGTCCTCAAAGAGCGTCATTTACATTCCATTGGGGCAGGCAACATGAACATATATGAGGATATGAAAAATAAAATTATATACAAATATATATACAAAATTAAACAACAAAATTTTTGTTGGCTTTTTTTTTAAGGGGCTCAAGGCACTAGCAGCTGGGTAGAGATCAGCAAAGGCCTCATGAAGGAGACGCCTTTTACACTTAGCTTTGAAGGATTCTAAACCGGACAGCTAGATGGCTCAGTGTAGAGTGCTGGCTGGAGTCAGGAACACCTGAATTTAAATACAGCCTCAGAAGCTTATTAGCTTCATGACCCCTGAGCAAGTCATTTAACCTCTATTTGCCTTAATTCAACAGAGAAGGAAAAGGAAAACCACTCTAGTATCTTTGCCAAGAAAACCCCATGGATAGTATGGTCCACAGGGTTATGAAGAATTATACACAACCGAACAACAACAAAGAATTGTAAGAGGCAAACAGGCAAGAAAGGAGTGCTTGGGGACTAGCCTGTGCCTAAGCACAGAAGAAGAAAACAAAATGTCATGTGAGAAACTTCAAGCTGGACCATAAAGTGCATGAGTGCCATGCAGTTGTCCATCATTTTTCATTTGGAGGCAACAGGGTATAGTGGGGGAACGCATTCTAAAGTCAGAATATCACCCTCAGGATCCTGGCTCTACTAATCACCTGCCAGTGTGACAATGAAGAAGTTATAGCACTTCCAGGAACCTCCATGACTCACCTGTAAAAGGGGGATAATGGTATTCATATTACAAGACCATTCTAAGGAGAATGTTTTTAATTTCTAATTCAACATGGCCATGACAGAATTATTTTGGATATTACAAGATATCTATTACATAACATCCCTTTTTATAACCTATAGTTCTTAATCATGCCATTTCATGAAAACTCTCTAAATGCTGCTAAAAATCTTTCCATATGCAAGAACGTCCACCTTCATATCATAACCAAAAGTGTGTATGCATGTGAAAAAATTAATTCGGCATAAGCAAAACAGGATTGGGAAGGTAACTTTCCTAATATGTAATTACTGAGTCAAATACAAATGCAAATAGGTGTATCTGAGCTCAATTTACATATATGAAGGCAAGCACTTAAATATATAAATTTTAATAAGCTGTGACCTAAGAGTTTGAGAGTGAAAGGCTTAAAAGCTAATTGTGGCTATTTGTCACCATGTTCAAGACAGGTATATAAGACTAAGACCAATACACAGAGAAAGCACAGGTTCACAACAGAGTTTTGCTACATTTTTCCTCTCCAGCCCATGCATTCTTCCCCATAAGAAATCAGTAGAGTCCTGTCTGAAGTGTTACAGAAGGAAAGGAGGCTACTTGAGGCCTTAAAGAAGCTGCTGGCAAATGCTCAAGGCCTATGACAGCAGACCACAGATAACTTTAGAGATCGGGGACTGGACATCAGACAACACACCTAGATTCCAAGGCCCAACTCTAACTAACCACATGTGCAGCTCTTAATTTCCAGCTCTAATAAAATGAGGGGGTTGGGCTAAATCATGTCTAATACTTTCCTGCTCTAACATTCTATGTTCTATATTCTCTTTCAGCTCTGACATTCTAGATATCCAATGCTATTGTCAGTGTTGTAGTCCTGTACAAACAAAAATCTTTCATCAGATGTTTCCCAATATGGTCATCAAGCCAATAAGATCAATAAAGTGTCTGATTTCTTGTGGTCCTTGTCGTTTTGTTCCTTTGGGGTTTTTTGTGAGGAACGAAAAAGGGGGAACAAAAAGGTGATTTCTTCAAAGTCAGGTTTTTTTTAAGGAGGAGGAGAAGGAAAATGTAGGGAGAAGTGGGAGAAGATGAAGATGATGATGATGTTCCCACTTTAAGTTGGGTTTGTCTGTCAACATGTTTCAAATGAATCCGGAAACAAAGTTACTCCACAGTTAGAGGAGTGCATTAACTCGTTACTCAGGAACACTTCCTTCCCCTATGGATCGGTATTTTGTCATAGATTCACCCACAGGAAGCTCCTATGTGGGTAAAGGGACACCTTTGCAAAGAATGGAAACACCAGACCCAAGAGCCAGGGTGTGCCTCCCAAAGCCACTTGTTTGGAGAAAAAGAAAAAGCACCACCGTGCTGGGTGTGGAAACCGGGGCAGGTCCAACAACTCACCTCCGAGCTGGCACCTCCCCTTGCAACACCGCAACACCACCCTCTACATGGGGCGATGGGGCAGAGGGCACCAGGGGGAACTGATCCGGGTGGGTCCTCATACAATTATTTCCCCGGTATAGTGATAGGAAATGATAGGAATCCGCAACTCATTCCATCCCCCTCTCCCAGGAGATGAAACGGAGAATAATCTTTTAAACGCAAAAACGATTGGTTTCTACAGGAGTGGGGCTCAGTAGAGACTGCCTGCGCACTTGTTAGTAACCACTATTATTAATTAATAATAATCATTTATGTTGAATAAAATAGAGCCTATCCGTTGGCAGGCCAGGTCTTGACGGCTTTTCTGCCTGCCTAGCACTGAGCAGGGGGAAGGGAGGCTGCGAATGCCGAGTCAGCCTGGCATTTTAGGTAGGAGGTAGGCCTGGTGCAGCTCCCCCTCAGCGCCCTCCACCCGGTCCGGTCCCTGGGAGCCGAAGACCTCTCCCCTAGCGGAATCCCGCCCCCCACCCTTGTCCCGGTGGGGATCCCGGAGCTACGGGGCCCTAACTGCGGTCCGGACCCGGCGGTTCGCTGGGTGTGTCGGTGACAATGGCGTCAGGCAGACTCTGGGAGCAACCTGTCAGCTCCCGCCGCCGCCTCCACTTCCCCTGCCCAGCCCGCAGGTCGGGATCCCCGGCAGCCCCCACGCTGCAGGGGCAAGAGCCCGCGGCACCCCGCGAACCGCCCCTTCGCGGGCAGCCCCAGCACGCCGCCTCCCCGCAGCATGGACGCGCCCCCTCTCTTATAGGTGTTAGGAGAAGAGCGCCCCGAAACCCTGCTCCACGTCCCCACTGCCCAGACGGAGGAAGAGGAAGCAGGAGGGGGCCACGACAGTCCCAGGAACAAAGGGAGGCTGCGCCCCTCCCTCTGAGAAGGAAGAGGCGTCCCACTCGCTCCCTCGGGACGAAGGAGAAGAGCCCCCACACCTTGGCCCAGGGGCAGCGCCCTTCTTGAGCCCAGCAGCGGCCCTGGCTGAACGCACCGCCCCCCACCCCCACGATCTCTCCCTCATCTCCTATACCCCATTCTCTATCCCCGTATTCCCGGGTCGCGCTCACCCGGCGCGGTGCTTGCTATCCATTCGTTTCTTCTGCCTGACAGGCTGCAGAGGGATGTTATCGGTCATGTCGGCGGCTCCCCTGCAGCCACTGGGGAGGAGACTGGGATTCACTTCCCAGCAGCGCCCCGCCTCGGCCCCGCCTGGCCTCGGGCTGACAGCGGCCACCCCTGGGGCTGTGGATGGGGGAGGAGGCCCGTGGGCAGACGGGCGGGTGGAAGGATGGATGGATGGATGGATGGATGCGTGAGAGCGCCTTTCCCCGCCCACGCGCGGAGCCGCGGGCCCGCAGTCGGACAGTCGGACTCCCAGCTCCCAGCGCTCCAGACGCCCTACATTGGGCGGCCCCCTCCCCAGCACCTACACAGCTCCGCCCCCTCTTCCTTCCATTCAGTGAGAGCCACTGCCGTCCCCTACGTCCGCCCCAACCCCCCCCACACACGCACACAAACACCCACCAAGACAACAAACACACGAACACCCACACTCTCACAAACGCACACGCGCACATGCTCACACTGCAGCTGCTCTTCTACCAACTCGCCTAACTCCCCACCAGCAAGCTGGCCATTCTTCCTTCTCTTCTACTGCCTTCGTTCCAAATAAGCAGGTACCTCCCTCCAGGCCTCAGTTCCCCATTTTGACGGTGACTGGGGCTGTCTCTCCCTTCTTGGTTCAGCTTTCTTGTCCTTGTCCAGCCTGTGTCTGCACTCAGTCTCTGATACTCTCCACTCTTGTTTCTTTGCTGCCCCCCCAACCTGGCCTTGAGGCAACTCGGTCTAGAGTTAGGTACGCCAATTACTCTGTTACTGGGTCCGAGTAATCAAAACCTGCCAAACGTTTTACCAACGCCCTTCAAAAGAAGAGTTTCAGGTTCATCTTTTCCCTCCCTTTGCTCATCCTCTGAATAGAGGTAATTGTGTGGATAATACACAAAGACATCTCTCCCTTCTGAATCTGTGCCCCATGTCTGGAATAAATTCCCAGCTCACCTCAAACTCTTAGAATCCCAACCTTCCTTCAAGACTCAACAAGAGCCTACCTCCTACTTAGCCATAGCATGGAAAGGATACTCAGTAAAGATAAAACACTTAGCTCAGGGGGACTCTCCCCTCCCAAAAAAAAAAACCTATCTCCATATAGAAACTTGTCAGGTCAGCACAGAGGGTGTGGTTGTTCATTTGGCTGTGATGTAAGTGAAGGGTTAGGCTGGCTTCTTTTATGCCCTTAGACAACCAAAAAACTATGAAGATAACGGTTCCTTAGCCCCCTGTGTCAATCAAATTTTTGCCTTTTAGGAAAAAAAACTAGCCTTGCTTCCGGAAGCAGAGACCTTAATAGGTATCATTCCTCACAGGTGCCATATGGCTGCAAATAATGGAATGTTATTGTCTCTGAAAAATAAAAACTACCGGTTACCAAAAAAGGTAACCAGCAAATGCCTTGTGGGTATTAATTGGCTGCAGCATAGTACAGTCAATTAACATTTGTCACACCTGCTATGTGCCAGGCACAGTGCTAAGTCCTGCAGATACAAAAAGATACAAATTATTTAAGTTCTCCACATATACCCCCCTCCTACTGTCTTGGAGCTCACATTTAATGGGAGAGACAACAAATGAAAAAGTATGTACAAAAAAGCTATATACAGGATAAATAGGAAATAATTAGAAGACGGAAGGCACTAGAATTAAGAGGGTTTGAGAAAGGGTTCCTGTAAAAAGATTCTAGTTGAGACTTACAGGAAACCAGGGAAGCCAGTAGGCAGATGAAGAAGAGCATTCCAGGCATGGGGACAAGAGTGTCGTCCTGGAACAGCAAGGAGTACCTGACAAGGAGTAAGGGATAAGAAGACTGGAAAGGTAGGGGAGGAGGCTAGATTATGAGAGGCTTTGAATGCTAAACAGGATTTCATATTTGATCCTTAGAGGTGGTAAGGAGCCATTGGAGTTTATTGAGTAGGGAAGTGACATGTTCAGGTCTGCACTGTTGAGATCACTTTGATATCTGAGTGGAGGAGACTAGAGTAGGGACAGACTTGTAGCAAGCAGACTCTTCAGCAGTTATTGGGATAGTCCAGGCATGAGATGAGGTCCTGTACCAGAGGCGAAAATGACAGGCATTAGCAACAGATTGGATAAGAGGAGTAAGAGACTGTGAAAAGTCGAGAATGACACCTAAGCAAGCCTGAGGGTGTGGGAAGTTGTATTATTCGGCCGGGGGGGGGGGGGGGGGGGACAGGGTTGGGGCTGAGCAGAGCCAGGTTTCAATAATAGCTAGAAGATGGAACGAGTGGGAGAGCAAAAGATTTAGAATGAAGAGAAGTTTGTTGCCTATGAAACAGGTATTCCAGAGGAATACCAGTGAAAGGAGTGGAAAAAGTATTGCCTTGGGAGTCAAAGGACTTGACTTCAGATCTGGCTTCTGGTGCTTACTAGCTGTGTGGCATAATGCAAGTCATTTAAACTCCTTGGGCCTCAGTTTCCTTAGTTGTAAAATGAGAAAGCTGAACTGGGTGACCCTTCCAGCTCTAGATTTATGATCCTATGGCATATATCATCAAGAAATTGTATGTTCAGAAAAGGAGATGAATTTGGCCAAGTAACAAGAGTAAAGGATACTTAACAGCTAGACAGCCTGAGTGTTACATACTTGTACCCAGGAATTGTTGAAAACCTCAAATATGCTGTGGAGATTCTTTGTGGATGATTTGTGGCAATGCGGCCCAGAATGGCAAAGGATGGTACAGAATTTAAGCTTTCTTCTCTACAAGTGGAAAGAGTGCCCACAGGACCACTGATGTCAGTCACTTGTTGAATTACAAGTATGCCTTGGGAAGAGTCAGTCATCTGAGAGCAAATACAAATGTGCCATTCCGTAGTAGAGATTGCCCTGGAGGGAGCAGTGGTGTGTGTGTGTGTAACATATGTAAGTTTATTTTTTTAATTTATTTTATTTTCAATTCAGGGACCCAAACAAGCATTTCCATAACAGTACAATAAAAAAGATAACTGCAACTGAAACGGCAAATCTACCGTGTACAACTTGCTATTCCCTCTAGTATACACAACAAAGTTATCATGTAAATTTCTTTTTTTCCCTTTTTTTCCTCTTCCCCCCCACCATGGCTAGGATTAGGCACAAATAGGTATATATATAATGTATGTATGTAAAATTATTCTATATATACTTCTATTTATCAGTTCTTTCTTTGGATGAAGATATTGTCTCTCTTCATATGTCCTTTATTTTTAATTTTTGTATTTATAATAGTCAAAATGACTTAGTCACTCAAAGTTATTCTTAAAACAATATTGCTGTTACTGTATGCAATGATCTCTTGGTTCTGTTCACTTTGTTCTTCATCATTTCCTGCAAGTCTTTCCATGCCTTTCTAAGATCAATGAGCTCATCATTTCTAACAGCACAGCAGTACTCCATCACAACCATACACCACAACTTATTCAGCCATTCCCCAAATGACGGGGATCCCTGCAATTTCCAGTTCTTTGCCACCACAAAGAGAGCTGCTATAAACATCCCATTCACATTCAAAGTTATGATTACTATTTGTGCATTTCCCTCCATCTTATTTTTACTCGCTATTTTCTTTCTCAGTCTCTCTTTTTACCTTATCCCTGTCACCTTATATTCTCCCCCTCCACCCTACCACCCTCCACTTCACACACCTCTTCCCCCCACACTCCCAAATCTCAATCTACATACCTTTCTAAAAGTCCCTCCCCCAGCCTGTCCCCCAGTTTTGTCACCTCTGAATAGGTTCAGAAGACTTCTACACTCTTCCACTTGCACACATTGTTTCCTCTTCAACCCAGATGAGAATAAGATACCCACATCACCAGCCCTCCACCCCCACCTACTTCCTCTGTATTAGTTCTTCCTTTCATGCCCCATTTTTATAATATAATTGATCCCTTTTACCTTTTCCCACCCAATTTTGTTTTTTTTAGAATCACCCCATCATGCACAACTCAGCCCCAACCTTTGTTTCAAACTGCTTTAGTAATGATCAGTTTTAAGAAGAACTGACATCATTTTCATATATACAAGTAAACAATTTGATCTTAATGATTGCCTTATAATTACTCTTTAATATTTTCCTTATATTTCTTCTGGATCTTTTATATCAATTTTTCTTTCTTTTTCTTTTTTTTTTTTGCTTTTTAGGCAATTGGGGTTAAGTGACTTGCCCAGGGTCACACAGCTAATAAGTGTCAAGTGTTTGATCTGACATCATATTTGAACTCAGGTCCTCCTGACTTCAGGGCCAGTGCTCTATCCACTGCACCACCTAGCTGCCCCCTTATCAATTTTTCCAATGAGTTCTTTTTTCTACAAATACCTGTAAGTCTTTCGGTTCTCAAATGGCCTTTTTTTCATTCAGGATTATACTCAGTTTTGCTGGTTATTGTTGGACACAACCCCAGCTCTTTTGTTCTTTGAAATATAATGTTCCAAGACCCATTCTTTTAGAGTAGAAGCTGCTAGGTCTTGTGAAATCCTGACTGTATTACCACAGTTTTTAAATTGTGTTGTTTTTTTCTTGTTCCTTGCAATATTTTCTCCTTAACCTTGGAATTTTGAAACTTCACTATCATATTCCTATAAGTTTTCCTCCTGGAATCTCTTTCATGTGGTGAACAGGAGATTTTTTTTCTCTCTCTCTCTGCTTTACCAACTTGTTCTAGAACTTCAGGGCAATTTTCCTTAATAATTTCTTGAAATATTGTATCCAGATTCTTTTTTTGATCATAACTTTCATGTAGTCTAACAATTCTTATATTATCTCTCTTTGATCTGTTCTCTAGATCAGTTGTTTTTCTAATGGGCTGTTTCTGATTCTCTTCTGTTTTTTCTAGTTTTATTATTATTTCCTGGTGTCATATAACTTCATTAAATTCCTCTTGGCCAATTCTAGTTTTCAAGGAATTATTTTCTTCCTTAGGATTTTGGACATTTTTTCCCAATTGGTTAATTTTCTTTTCATAATTTCCTTGGATTGTTTTTTTTTTATTGTTTTTTTCCTAGGTCTCTCTCATTTGATTTTTAATTCCTTTTTAAGTTCTTCCAAGAACTCTTTTTGGGATTGTGACCAGTTGATGTTATCCTTTGGGGTAGGAGTGGCTTTTTTTAACCTCATTATCTCCCTCTGAAAATGAACCCAGAGGGGGCGGCTAGGTGGTGCAGTAGATAAGAGCTCCAGCCTTGGAGTCAGGAGGACCTGAATTCAAATCCTCAGACACATGACACTTACTAGCTGTGTGACTCTGGGCAAGTAACTTAACCCCAATTGCCTCAAAAAAAAA